AACCAACAGTGTTAAAAAACTTCAACTTTTTTTTTTTGGATTGAATTTTTTTTTTATTCCAATTTCATCCCAAAGGTTTGAAAAAATCGGAATTCCTAAAATTAGAATGAATTTTCTTTTTGTTTTTAAAATTGAAAATTTTCGCATCAGAATCGAAGTTATAATATAAATTACATAATAAAATTACTTTTTGAAATGTAATTTTCAGAATATAAAAAAATAAGATCAGGTTAAAAATCGATATCTAATATATACTATTTCAAAATTTGAAATTTTTAGGATTGGAATCGGCAAAAATCGAAAATTGCGTCCCACTTTAAGCACACGCACATATATGTTTTATTGGACAGTTAGTTTATTTGGATTAATCAAAACGAAATCCGTAATTATGTACCAAAATAAATCTCGAATGAAGAGAATTGCACTTTTAGTGGTGCCTAATTCTAATTAGTGAAGTGGTCCATAATCCATATTAGTTAACTTAAGTGGGTAGCAAAATGATTTCAAGAAAGCACGATTATAACTAGGGGTGTAAACGAGCCGAGCTCGAGCCGAGCTCGCCTCTTTTGGCTGGCTCGAGCTCGAGCTCGAGTTTATTTTGTCGAGCTCGAGCTCGAGCTCGAGCTCGCGAGCTCCTCTGTTTTTGGCTCGAGCTCGAGCTCGTGTCAATTTTGTCGAGCTCGAGCTCGAGCTCGAGCCCATTGTCTTTTTTTTTTTTTTTTTTTAATATTTTTTTAATTATTATTTTATTATTAAAAATTATTTAAAAAAATAAAAAATAAAAACAAAAAAATTGTAATTATATATATTTTTAATATTTGTATTTATTTCTATAATATTTTACATTGTTATACATTATTTAAATAAAAATAACATATAAAATATAAAAATAAAAATAAAAAAATAATAATAAATCCGGCTCGCGAGCTCATGAACAACTGAAAACCGGCTCGAGCTCGGCTCGTCAGAAAGCTCGAGCTCGCGAGCTCGAGCTCGAAAATCTCGAGTCCGAGTTCGAGCTTTTTACGAGCCGGCTCTTCGAGCTCACGAGTCGGCTCGGCTCGTTTACACCCCTAATTATAACTAAACACCCCATTTCCATTTGTTTTTTTGTTGAAAAAACGTTAATTCAATTTTTTTTAATTTTTTTTTTTGGAAAAAGGTAAATATATTGTGTATATTGTATGTGGTGGTGGGTTCTCCAAAATAAACCCCAGAGAACAACCACCTGTTTCTTTTTTCACCGAGGGTAATTAAATTTCATCTTCGTAACTAGTAAAGTTAAATTACGATTTTTTTTATTTTATTTTAACAAACAAACACTAAAGTAAAGTTGAATTACGAAAATCCTAAAATAAAGTTAAATTATGGAGAAACCATTCATATTCGGAATTTACAATCACTCCATCAACTATGAATCTTTTTAGATATACACACTTATGGTTTTAAATTCAACATAATCTTCTATATTTCGTGAAATGTTCTCTAGTTTGTACTCGTTTTGTGCAAAAATGCAGTTTTTGATGCACCACAATCTGATATTTATAAGCCGAAAAACACATCTTATGATCATCTTGTTTCAAAATGTAGAGCTCGAACGAGGTAAAACGGATATAAACTGGAGAATATTCCACACAATGTAGAAAATTCCACTAAATTTGACACCGCGAGAGTGGATGTGTAAGAAGATTCATTGGTGCGGGGATAGTTTTAATTAACGAAACATAAGAAATTTTATCGTAATTTGATTTATATTTTTTTTAATTTTTAATATTAATAGACTTTCTAAGAAAATTAAAAAGCTTTAACCCTCACGGAGGAAAAAGCAAAACCCAGCGTGTTCCATTTTGGAAAAAAAAAACTTTTAATTTGTGTAAAACGCGTGTCCAAACGGGTCCCCAAATTCTTTTTTTACAATTTCTCCTAAAAGTAAATAGCGTTTTTTAGTGGATAAGTTGGAATAAAATGCCATAAAAAAATACGAGAAATTTACTCGTTTAATTTTTTTTCAACAAACGAACCGGCAATTACATTATTCGAAAAAAAAAATCATTGCAAGAGATAGAAATCATGCTAAGCAAGTTCTGCGCCAAATTATCAAAAAAAAAAAAAAAAAGTTTTTCGCCAAAATCTCGATCGAGAAAGTGTTAACAAAACATCAAATTCGAGTTGTCAATTTGTCATGTTCAACACAATCCACTCATTATGCTATCCTCCTCTCATATTTAGCATAATTAGGACCAACAATTGAGCTGGGTTTACCCGAAGCCCGATAGTTCAGCCCGATTTTATTTGATCCGAGCTTGATAAATTGTGAGACGGACCGAATTTGAGCCTCCCGATTAAACTATGAGGCGACTTTGAGCTTACCATAGCTCAGCCCAAATAAAGTCCGAATATATATATATATAATACTACAAAAATTACAAGAATTGTAACTCAACCAATAGAAAATTAGTTACATATATAGTACCATTTATTTATACGTTCAAGTATTTGTTTTATGGTACAGTTGGTACAAAGGAACCCAGCCACGTGACAGGGGGCACCCCCCTTTGACGGGGCAATGTAATAGCTGCACGTGACTTGAGCGTGTTCCTTCCAAGTTTTGGCTCAGCCACACGAATTCACGTCTTTTGAATTACCTTTATTTTTCTTTTTCTTTTTTGAAAAAAAGATAAATTTATTTTTTAGGTTAATTCAATTTATCAGCCTTTAAAAAAAAAAAAAAAAAACCCCTCCCCTTTTCAACAAAAAATCATGACTTTTACATGCAAATAATTGAGGACTCAAGTTCTTGACGTTCACGTCGGGGCAGATTGAAAAGGTCTATGAATTTTAATTTTTGGTAAAAAAAAAAGCATGGCAATTTCTGCTTTATTATTATTATTATTATTTTATTTTATTTTATTTTATTTTGTTTTTGTTTTTCTCTTTGTAATTATGACCAAGAAAACATAATTATCAAAAGATTTGGCATAGTTTGAAAAATAAAAATCAGAGAGATATTCGTAAAAAAATTAACGAAAACGGTCGTGAATTAGTAGATTATAATTCAAATTATATGATATTTATTGTATGAGTTTATGCATAGACATTAAAGAACAATATAGAAGTTAAAATTTTATCCCGTTAAATAAATGTAGGCTCGACTCAAGTATGAACCCTGTAATATTCCTCACTGTTCCGTTCGTGTTACAACATAAATCAAGTAGGCAAAATCTATTTCCTATTTACATCGATTTTAAAACGAACTCGAGTAAGAAAAAATAAGTTAAACTAATTAATTAAACAAAATAAGATTCTCTGATTTGATCGCATTTTAACTCGATGCATTTGAGTAACTCGAATACGGCTATACATCTAAAACAATATTAATGTCCCTATCCAATAAGATTCCTTGATTTGATTTTTGATTGCTAATTAAATCCGTACTTAGGGGAAAAATCGCGTGTTTTAGCATGATCATGCCATGATTGCTGTTTGGTTCGTTGGATTTTCGGGTCGACCGACAATTCTATCTCGTATCGCTTCTTTTTTCACCGGATGATATTCGAAAAAAAATTTGGGCTCTTTAAAGTTTGCAGTCAATTATAATTTAGGAAATTCAGTTTAAGTACAGTACGGTGTTGTTCGATCTCCGTTATCACCTCCCGATTTTGTGGGTTTTCGTGATGGAATAAAAGGCTAAGGAGGAGTAGAGTTTTGCTTCATTATTCTCAGGAAAAAACACTAATCTCGTGAGTATTAGTTGCAACAATGTTACGTTTATCAGATCAAACAAATCCGACAAATGCTTAGTTGGCATTAATTTTTGGTTACTCAAAGATTGATATTTGAAGTACACAATAAATTACTTACTGATTAAAGAAGTACATAATAAATTTAATTTATTTTTAAACCGGGACAAAATTTAGGACCACGTTTAGTTACTATTAATCCGGTTCAAATGTAGATTAGAAGCCTAAAACAAACACATTTATTAAGAAGGGTGTTTGGCTAAACTTATAATCTGTTAAAAATAATTTTATGAAGTGTTTAAGAGGTTATAATGCTATTTCTAAGTATTTGATAAATTTAAAAAAAAAATCTTAAAAATTCAAAAAATAAACTACTGGAAAACAAATGAGATCTTTTTAAAAAAATGCATATAGCTCACTTTTTTTTAAAAGTTATTATAATAAGTAAAAGTAGTTTATAAGCTCATTATCCAAATATTTTAAAACTAAATTATAAAAATAAGACGAAACAACTTATCAACTCTTACAATAATTTATCAAACGTAAGAACTTGTCAATTATTTAAAATAAGCTTAAACAAACACAAACGAGTCCTAAGTATCCAAATATCCTCTTCTTCACTCTTTACCTCAATTCAAAATCAAACTATTTATTTACAATCAACATTTTTATTACATTCCTCAAATATAAATTTCAAAAATGTAATTGTCAAAAAAGTCTATTTATAGAGTTTACAAGACTTTAGAATTACCAAGTCATTGTTTGTAGTATTTAAATATATTAAAATAAAAAAAAAAAAAAAAAAAAGAAAGAAGAAAAATCTTGTTAGGTAATAATAAAAGCAATGATTCACAGATCCCACCCCCTTGCGATCTATTTAAACGGTACCATTGTACGCACAAACTCCCCCATTCGAAGACCCACTCAACTCTAAATCCGACCAAAATCTCACACTCTCTCTCTCTCTCTCTCTCTCTCTCTCTCTCTCTCTCTATATCTCACACACACTTTCTCTCTCCTCTCTCTCTCTCTCTCACACACACACATTAAAACGGAAAAAAAAAAAGGAAAAGAAACCGCCAATTGATCGGTTCAATTTCCCCTTGTTCAGTGTCTATGTATATGATCTGTGCGTATCAAATTCAAAACCCCACATGCCTTTTCATTTCAATTCCCCCCTTTCTTCTTCTCCATTTCTCCCCGGCTATTTCCTCTCCCTCTGATTTTTCCGACATTAATTGGATCAATTTTGAGAAATTGATGGAATCGGAGATGATCGATGTTGTGAGATTCGAGAAGGAGAACGCTCTCGCCAGTTTCAATCGATTCCGTGGAATCGCGAAATTCCGGCAGGTTCTCGAAGTTGTGGTGGTTCTAGGGCTGATTTCCTGGTCCACGCCGCGCGTTCCGGCGGCTCTGACGGCGGCGGCCGCCTCCGCCGTCGAGTTCTCCGCCTATCTCCTCAACCACCACGTCGTTTTCCTCATCGGAAACGCCATTATCGTCCTGCTGTTTGCGCTCTGCCGCCAAAACGACGCCGCCGTGAATTCCTCCGGCGACGGCGATTTCTACGATGACTACTTGAAACACAGTGAGGCTGTTCACCACCGGGAACCTAATCCGGCGGAGGCGCCACGCGATGAGGAGAAGCAGATTGTAGTACTATGCAAAGAGGAGACAGTCGCGGCGGCGTCGGCGGCGCCGCCGCAGTGCGATGACGTGGCGGCGGCGATAGATATGGCCACGAGGCAGATAAAACGGTTCCAGCGTACGCAGTCGGAGAGGCTGAGGAGAGATATCGCGGTGAGGCCGCAGCAGGAGCTCCGACGATCGGAGACACAGAATTTCCGGAAAAGCGAGAGCTCCGGCGAGGGGGTGGAGGCGGCGGATATGGAGAGCCTGAGCAGCGAAGAGTTCCGGCAGACGGTTGATGCGTTCATCGATAAGCACTGGGTGAGGAAGAAGACGAAACAACATCAGTTTGAGGAACATGAAAAATATCACTTAATGAAAATGGCTTATTAATTACTCCGTAATTACTGCAACTAAATATGTAAAAAATTCCGTTATGGATTAAATCTATCCTGAGTTTAGTTTAGTTTTTGTGGATAAATTGTTTTAATCCTCTGTTTCTCTGGAATTAATTCGCCAATTTAATCCACTTTTTTTTTCTGTTATTAATACGAACTTTATTTTTTTGTTAATGTATATTATGTATGTTCGTTTATTTCCCTTTTTAAAAAGAATAACGCCGCTATTTATAATTTGTTAATTTCAGATAATTTAACTCAAAAAATGTAGATGAACGAACATTCAGGTGAAGAATTAAAGTCGCTTTTCTTTTTGACATTTGAATTATTGTTGGATTTATTTGCCGGCTATGCAGCATGGACGCGGGAACAACGATACGGGAAAACGGAGAAACGGCATGTACAAAAAATGGAGATACGAGAGTAAATAGTAAAAGTATAGGGGTATATTTATAAATATGTTATAAACAAATATAAGTTTTTAAATCTTTTCATACAAACAATGTTCAAAATAAATTTTACTATCAACTATCAGTTTGCAATCAATCATTAAACCATGTAAATAACGAGGGAAGCAACAAAAATATTCGAAAATTCGCTATTCAAACATGTTTATAAGTTTTTATAAATTACAAAATGACTCATAAGATGTCGGACAAGTGTCGGACACAAAACGTATCTGAAACACATAAACGTTATGAAGTTGAAGTTTTCGTGCTACAAAGCTTATGAGTAAAGAAAATTATACAAACAATAGAATATTAGACTCAAACTTACCTAAAAAAAGAATATTAAAGTTTAAACACTCTACTAAATTACTTTGTAATTATGCAAATAATAGCATATTAAAGGTTAAACACTCCACTACTTCACTTCGAAAATTTCGGATTCTCTCATCAATTAAAAGGAACAATACAAATCTATAAAATGGATTTATTAATATTTCATTAAAAAAAGTCATAAATTATTTTGACAAACGAATTAATATATATAAAAAAAGTAAAGAATAGTTGATTACAATTTATAACTGAAACCAAAAAAATAAACAAATATTGGATGGGGACCAAAGGGGGAATAAAAACAGTCAGCTTCTACCTATATAAGTATTTTAATTTATTTTTCACAAGAAAGTTTGCGTAAAAAAGAATGGCTAACAAAATTCGGCACAATTGTAACTTTTTATGGTCCCATTTGACATTAAACCATTTTCTTAGTCTACCTTTTTTTTTAAGTTTCACTTCTCTCTATTTTGGATGTTGTGTTTTAATTTTAATTGGGCATTGTGAATCCAAAGGGAAGGATCCTAGTAAATGAGTAGGAAATAACTTGTTTATAATTAGAGTTCGACATGAGTCCGTCGGACAATTATCTCGGTAATTACTTACCTGACTCGATTCATCGATTTTGTTGAATACTGAAAATTATTATCGGCTCGATTATAATGAGTTGGATAATAGTTGGCAACCGACTTTGTTATTATTCGTAAACAATGGGTCAATTAGGTTATTACCGGTCATCTATTTATTGATTTCTTTTAAAATAATAAGATAATTTTAAAAGTTTTTTCAGAAGATATTTAAATTTTATGATCTTAAATTTTTTTTTATTAAACTTCTACAATACGTAATATATAATGAACAATATGAAATCAAAATTATAAAATAGAAATAACACTTAGATGTTTATATATTTGTGTTTCGAGTTTTTGAGTTTTGACTTCTTTTATATATTATTTTAATGTTAAGAAAAAAAAATTACTATTAAATTTCTCTAGTATTTTTTTAGTATTAAAAGTGTCGGTTAATTGATATTAGCTAACCAACCGATTTTTGAGTAAACTAAGAACCATCGACCAACTCAATGGTGGGACTCGGTAAAAATTACCAGCCCGACTATATGAGCCATATTTTCTTATCACTTTTTTTTTTTTTTTTTTTTTGAGTAAATTCAAATCCATTACAATGGGAGGTAGGAGAGAAGGACTTGAACACCAGACATTTACTCTATTGGTAAGACTAGGTACCAACTCTCCTAATGAGGATTGGTATAGTCTTATCACTTGATAATCCTAAAAAAAAATCTAATTATTAGTCAAATTCCATGATATTGTACTTATCTTAATGATGTTTTTAACTGCAAACATGACACGATTGTGTCGATAACAAAAGGATTGATTGCCCATGGATAATCCGGGATTAGTGGCTTTCAATACACACAATTTTACCTTTTGCCCCTCTAATTATGAAGCAATAATCCTTGAAAAAAAGCCAACTTTTATTTATTTTTCATTGCGTTAATGGGTCACAAAATTCAACTGTTTTGTGTTAACTTTGTCATTATTTTCTCAAAAAAATAAATAATAAAAAAATAAAAAAATAACTTTGTCATAATTAGCTAGCCTAAAGGGTAGTTTAGTGGGCGTTTGTTAGAATATTCTTTTCCATTTTCTATTTGATAAAAGAGTTCAATATCACTATCAAAAACCAGTTCGTGGGTAATTGAAATGATTGTTCATCCGTTAATAATTTTATTTAATTAACTGGCCCATCGAAATAATTATTACAATTTTGATTAAACATTATTATTATGTTTTTCTTTAAATAAATTAGGTGAATGTTTTAATTATTTATTCATTGTCAATAAATGTACTTTTTTGTTATTCTTTCACCCTAATTTGTAGTTTGTTGGGAATTTACATGCTTGGTGTTAGTCATTGTTGTTCGTTATGATTGCTAAGTATTATTTTTTTTGACTAAATTGCTAAGTATTTATTTACTCAAATTCGTTTTTCGAATATTTTGCTTGTTTAAAATCGCAAAAACTACATTTTTCATTCCTCAAGTTTGTACTGATTTCACATTTAGTTTCTCATATTGACAAATAAATCATTTGGTACCTCATATTTTAAAAAATCAACACTTTTAGTCATTTCTGTTAATTTTTCGTTAGTACTAACGGAATCATCACTGCCTTAACTGGCAGATTAAGGAAAAATTGACAAAAATGACCAAAAGTGTTAAATTATTCAAACATGAGGGATCAAAGTATTTTTTTTATGAATATGAGGGACCAAATATAAAAATAGTACAAACTTGAGGGATGAATTATGTAATTTTCCTTTTAATATCCAAACTCCAAAATAGCAAGTTGAAGGCGAGATTCGATTGCCTATTTCCACAACAGCCATAGAATGTTTTAAATTGTTAATCTTTTATATTAATTATTATAAAAATATATATGTAATTAAATTCATTTGTTTAAGAGAGGAAAATAGGACATACTTATTTAAATTTATTTTTCAGCCATAGCACCTAAAAGCCTTTTCATCGTCACTTATCCTCGAAACGAGAGATAAAAGATACTTTGATCAATTTGTTTTATAAGCTAATAAAAATGTCAAAGTAATTAATGATATAAAAGAACAATAATGTCAAAGTAATTAGTGATTAACTATGTCTTAAAATTTTAAAGTGATACATAATATGAGAAAAAAAGTTACCACTAAAGAGACATTTAAAAAGAAAAGCAGAGTGCGTATACAATAATATATAGTTCGTAGATATTATATCCAAGGATATAGGCTCATCCTTTTCTATGAGATGCTACATTTGATGTACACATCGAGTTGTTTTTTTTTTTTTTTTTATCGTAAATTTGTATAAATAACTACTCACAAAACACATACACACATGTGTGTATTATTATTTATTAAGTGTAGATTAATAGTTCAAAATCACCTCATGTATTTACTGGATATAGTGTTTACGAAAGCCTTTATCGAATGCAGCATAAAAATAACTAGAATATACAGTTACACCTCTATAAATTAATACAGACGGGACTGACAAAACTCTATTAATCTAGTGAAATATTAAATTATCGAACTAATAATTTAGTATAATTTTTTTGAGTTGAGATCGAAAGAAACAATTATTTAAGTGATGTTATTAATTTATCAAATATTAATTAATCGAGATTGTACTGTATATTTATATGTGTGACTTCATTGACCTATTTTGCCCCATAACTTCCAACAATTAGGTAAGCAAGCCGCTGGATTTTTGTTAGCCACTATTAAATATTATCAATTCATGTACTAAAGTGCCCACACCTTCACAACTCTGAAAAATAAAATAAAAATTATAGTAACATTTTCCAGCTGCTAACAACCATCATATTTATCAATAATTAAACTAATTAAATTACATGCCCTATGGTCGGAATGGACTTTCATAAGAGTAAGACCTTTCTTGAGTGGCATGGGAAATTATATATTTTAAAAATTGATAAAATGGAATAAAAGTATTATTAAATTTGATATTTTTTTTCCTTTTTATTTTTTCACTCAATAAAATTGAAGTGCCGAACGCATTAAAAAAAAACTAGAGGATGCCGTTAAGGCTATTATACATGAATTTTATTTATATTTCTATATATAATAATAGAGATTTGAAAAATATTCATGTAGTCATGACCCCTCGGTGCTATGCTGCTTTCGCCGTGTGTGTGTGTCTATATATATATAATAAATTTAATAAAAAATCGAAGATCTTTTCGAAACCAATCAATGAAAATATATCATTTTCAATGTTTCGTATCACTTTCTCAAACTAGTTCTTTTGGAACCCTAATTTTCCCCCCTATAAATTTAGTAATTTTTAATTAGTGTGATGTGTATTGGCCCTCACATGCTAAATATCTTATAGAGTGGTAAACTATTTTTATATTGCTAATTAAATCCAAGGGTAAATGTAAAACCTATGAACCAAAAAACCAACATAACTATTATTGGAACAAGTTGTATATATATATATATTCATCACCTAATTAAATAAATAGATATAATTTTGTTAGCAAAGTTATGAATGCACCTTAAATCCTGGTGAAGTTTGTTTTGGTACAGTTTCAGCTATATCTATATTTGTGTCTAGGCTCACGTATTTCCAACCTGGCAATTGCGGTGAAGCCACCA